ATAGCCAAAGATACAATTCCTTTATTGATGTTGCCTGCAATTCCTCTTTGACTTTCATCTTGGATTACTAGAGCATAGGCTTGATTCACATTGGGTAAATTGTGCATTATGAGGGTTTGACCTTGAGCTGATGAATAGCTATCGTTTAACCCCATAAGAAATTGCAGCAAACGTTGATACTGCAGCTGCTCAACATACTCCTTAGACTTGTTACAATCACAACTTGCTGGAGGTAAAATAGAATCATACTCATCCCACAAATTCTTCAATTTTGTGTAATAAGCAGAAACACTCAATACTCTCTGTGTTAGAGTAAATATATTCCTATGCAATTAATAGAGTCTCGATCCATTTATCTTATCAAAATGCTCCTTGAGATCAAGTCATACCTGATGTGCACTAGGCAAATACAAGATACCACTAAGCAACTCCTTACTAAGATTGCATGTAAGCCAAAAAATAACAGTAGTGTTGCAACGATCCCAAATTTTCTTCACACTACCTTCGAAATCAGTGCGCAAAACACATCCATCGATAAAACCTATTTTATTTCGTCCAAGCAATGCAATCTCCATAGCTCTGCTCCATAGAGTATAATTTTTCATTCTAGTCGGTTGGATTCCCACAGATAAAGCTCCAGGTACATCTGAAGAGCTCAAATATAATGGATGATTGTGATCAATCATCACCAAATTCACAGTAGTTGTCTCGCCTTGTGCTCTGCTATTCGATCCTCCCAATGAATCATCCTCGATCGCCATGGATCAGATCCAACTGAGACTTTCGTAAAACAACAAAAAAAACTGCAAAAAAATAGTTCCTAGATTCTTCCTCCTTGCTCTGATACCATGTGAAGAAGATCAATTGAACAAATGAATAAGAAATGTTTACTAACAGTGAAGAGAAGAGGAGAAAACTGAATTGATTTCAATTGTAAAGATCACACCATGTACATTGTATCTTAAAGGCTAAGCTAATCACAATGAATCTGCATATATATATATATATATATATCTAATCATATATCTGC